TATGCAATATATTTAGCTTTAGAATTTATATTCAATGTTTATTATAGCTAGGCTCAAAGTGTTAATGCTCGCTTATTTTAATAAATAACATTATCATATGCAAAAATTAGGGTGGCACCAGTGGTGGCGAAAGATTATTTTATGACGACACATGCCACCACAGTAGATCCTCCCCTGATTAGTCTGAGTTATATTAACCAGTCAGTTTGATCAGTCATTTTTCTGTATTCATCAACAGCCAAACAGGAGCACTTCACCAAAGGTATGTAATCTTGTTATTTTGCACAACCGTAAAATCCATGGTTATTTTCTATTCAGGAAAACACTAATCTTGTAAAATAAGCTAATTAACTAATATTAGGTAAATTAGCTAAACTGCTTGAGAGCACTGATGTGAGGACTTCACTGTTTTTTTCTGTCATAAATACAACTTGTCTAAAAAGCCTCAGACAGTGGCAGTGCGGTATGTACTTGCTGTAAAACTCCAGATATTATCTGTTATGGTGCATTTAAACCAAATTTAGAAAGTGGTTTTAGTTACATACTATGTCTACCTAATGAGGAGAATTTATGCAAAATCGTGGTGAGTGAAATAAATATAAGCGAATGTTTGTATTAAAATAGTTCAGCTTCTGTTAAAAAAATTGTTTGGGCTGTAACATCAAAAATGTCTGTCTGTTTTTATGTGAATTAAGCGCATACAATGCAAAGGTCCAAAATGACCAAAGTATTGCGCTTCTTCAAAGACTACAATGTACCTCCTCTGCCATTTAAGGTGTCTTTATATTTTGAGATTAGGATGTAGTTTTTTGTTTTGCTTTAATTTTTTTAAGTAGTCTGTCAGGCTTCGTTGAAACACAGGTGTGTCAAACGAACTGCAAGCCGGCTATATACAATTACATCTGTAATGATAACAGCAAAGTATCATGTTTTATGTTGTTAATACTCCTAGACTGTAGGGGGAGCTAGAGAGCTAGAGGGAGTTACCTCTGGGCAGAATGTGATGGCAAAGCGTTGTTTTACATTTACAAATACCTTCTCTTCAAGTAATGGTGTCATTCTTGAGAACCCCCAACAACATAAAGAAACAAGACAGCATCCAGCCCATGAGATTATTTCATGTCAATTATTAATGGCCTGTTTGTATGTGGGACTGCTGAAACCATGCAGGCAGGGACGGGTATTTATTTTGATAAGCAAATCATGCAACCATTCACATACAAAGACAGAACAGACTCATACCATTTTGTGAAAAAAGGCAGGAAGGCAGACATTCCAAAGACAAGTGTAGTGGTACAGGCCAGGTACACAGAGAGAAGGGAATTTTTTTTTAATCCAAGCACATCTGGAAAAAGTGAAGATGCAGGACTGTGTGCATGTAGCATAGAGCCATGGCTCAGTGTCTGGGTGTCTGGCTTCTAAAAGGCCTGAATGAGCACTTGAAGCCATTTATAGTATTGACTTGTTTGAATACAGTTTAAAAAATACAGTTTAAAGGGGTTTCTTTTACCATAGGAATGCTTCCTTTTGTTTGTTTCATGATACAAAGGGATTTGTTGAATATTTTTTCTTAGATAGAGCCATTTAGGTTTAGTTTTAGATTCCTCAGCTCAAGCTAGTGGTAGTGGCTACTTGAAGGGAAATTGATAGCCCTATATATAGTCAGTCTCTGCTTGATTCAGAGGAAGAAGGAAAGGTAAACCGTGTCACTGAATCCATGTGCGTTTGATTTTTGTTAATTGAGTTAATTATGAAGGGTTTTAGCAAGTTTCACATATGATGGAGGTCACTGTAAATATATTGCTCATACCACTTTCCTTATCACTCGAGTCAGACTATCTTACAGTGACATAGAATTGGGTACTAATAAAGTACTGCATTTCTTTCATAGTTATAACTTGTCTACAAACTCTCAGAGAGTGACAGTGTATGTTTTTCTGCCTAATAGTTGAAAAAATGCAGGTGTACCGTTTAAGGTGTATTCAAACCAAACACAAAGGTCATTACAGTTCATTACAAGAACAGATGGTGATTCATTTGTGTCATGCTGCTTCATGAAAATCCATCATCTGTGGATTTTTGTTTATTTACACCACTGATTATTTTCCTGCACCTTTTATTGATAACTTGAGTTAAAAACAAGCATGTCCCAGTCATCCCCATTACTTTTTTTTGTAAGCCCTGTATCATAATTATAATTTAGTTTGAGATATGCAATCTTATAACAAATTGCTAATAATAAATTGGTTGGTATACCTCTTTTTTTTCATGACTGCTCTTAAATTTCTTCAATTACTTCTTGGCTCACCTGAAATCTAGACCTTAATCTGCCTTAATGTTTAAATCTGTAAGTGAATTCATTACTGTTCATGTTGATTTAACTCTAAGGTCTGATATGGACAGTCTTCATTTGTGTCATAACTTCAGCTGTACTAGACTCAAGCAGAAATTTAAAACACACTTGTTCACTTGTTTTGTTTTTGTTCTGTTGCTCCAGGTCTCAAAGCAATGATTGCAATGACCCCAGAAAATTTCAGTCCAAGCAATACAAGTGCCGCACCTGATGTAGATGAGTCTTTGGATAACTTGCGTCAGTCGTTCAACATCATATCTATCGCTGTTTTCTCCCTGGTCTCTCTCCTCGGTCTGCTCGGGAATGGACTGGTTATCTGGGTGACCGGGTTCAGGATGAAGAAAACTGTTAACACAGTTTGGTACCTCAACCTTGCTGTGGCTGACTTCATCTTTGCAGCATTTCTGCCCTTTAGTGTAACATTCCTGGCTTTGCGGCTTCACTGGCCTTTCGGTAATTTCATGTGCAAGCTGGACGCCACTACAATCTCTCTGAACATGTTTGCCAGTGTCTACATTCTGGTGGTGATCAGTGTGGACAGGTGCATGTCTGTGGTGTGTCCTGTCTGGACTCAGAACCACCGAAATGTACGCAACGCATTCTATGTGAGTCTGTGTGTTTGGGTGCTGGCTTTGATTGTCAACATTCAATATTTTTTTTTCATGCACACAGAGGAAGTGTCTAAAAACACAACTTACTGCTTCAGCAGTGTTGAGGATTTTAAATATGCAACACCATCTGTCTTTCATACCATTTCAATCACCCACTTCCTTTTAGGATTTGCAGTCCCCTTCACTGTCATTGTCACTTGTTATGCTGTCATCATCCATCGTCTCAGGACAAACCGCAACCTGGCCAGCCAATCAAGTCGCCCCTTTAAAGTTATTGCTTCCATTATCGTCACTTTTTTTCTGTGCTGGGGGCCCTATTACATCATTGATCTAATTCAGCTGGTGGTATTTATTCCACCAAATGAAACATTTCACTATGCCTTCCGAATTGTGTTGTATGTCTCCGAGAATTTGGTCATTCTTCACTGCTGCTTGAATCCACTGCTGTATGTCTTCTTGAGACAAGATTTTAAGGCTGAAATACAAAAATCCATCCTGAAGGTGCTGGAGAGTGCCTTCCAAGAAGAGGAGACACGCTCTCCCAGTGACATAAAGTCAGTGAACACCAGGCAGAGCAGAGAGAAGTCAGATTTGATTACTGAGGTATAAGGCTGTATATGATGTATTTTGGTTACTGTATTCTGTACTACTTATCCAGCCCTGGAAAAGTGGATGAAGATGGATGGATTATTTTACTTTAACTAACTCACAAAGTCTACCATTCATTTCTAGTTATTAATAATCCTTTTGTTTTGGTAATATCTTATTACGAGCTCACCACTGAGTTCTTACCAATATTATGTAAACATTTACATTTTATATTAAATATTTGGCATTCCTACAGTTCACTCTATTCATTATTATTATATGTGAATGTTATATAATTATCATGATGTTACTATGCTAAACAGTCTCTCTAATAGTTTCTTTCTGTCTTTCAACTTTTTTAGGAATGTCAATAAATAATGACAGTAGTGATCATTCTTGCTCATATAATCACTGTTCTTGTGTTGTGTTATAAATATACTTTGATATGTGTATCAGTAGTATTAAATGAACACACCAAACATTGGATAATAATAACAATATTTAATCATATGCAAACAGCTAACAGACATTACAATTATAATTTGTGATATATTGAGAATAGGAGACACATCAACAACACACCTCTTCCAATTAATGGCTAATTAATATTATGCTGAACACAGCCCAAAAGATTCAATAAGCCACATCTCAGTGGCTACTGTCAGTTTACTGTTTTACTATCATAGCCAAGTGGCTAAAGGTAAACAGAAATTTATCACTATCCCTACTAATGAATGTTCTCTTGTTTCAGGATGCATAATAAGTGCCATTATCCAATGACACATCTGCTTAACTTTTGCTCGTTTTTCCTCCTCTTCTTTTCTTTTTTTCTAAACTGAGGACCTGCTGGCTTTGACCTTTTCTTGTCCATCTTCCATTCGAATATTATGAATGAAATGTGCTCTATTTGGAAGCAGCCCGCCCCCTCCCCTTTTGGCAGGTTGTGTGTGAGACTTAAGCACAGCAGTAGCAAGAAGGCGCACCGAGGGATCTCACATTTACTTTTCGCGTATATGTGTGTGATAGAATTTAGAAAACACATCGGTGCCAATTATAAGTCTATATCATAATGTCTGTTATTTTTGTGTTTGGTGATTTGTTTTTATTTCCTTTTATTTTGCAAGCTGGTTTTTAGATGCCACTTCGGCCACCCAGAGAATCCCTGGCCGCTTCGCCCCTCTCCTCCCTGCACGGCAAGAGCTCCTCGCAAATGGAGGGAGCTCTTATTAGAAAACCGATCGGTGCCTATGCAATCCCCAAAATGCGCTGGCTTGATAAGATAAGATAAGATAAGATAAGATAAGATAAGATAAGATAAGATAAGATAACCTTTATTAGTCCCACACGTGGGAAATTTGTTTTGTCACAGCAGGAAGTGGACAGTGCAAAAGTTATGAGGCAAAAATTAGGATACAATAAGAATAAATACAGTACACAACTGTACAGGATAGAATAAATAAAATACTATATACAGTAGAATAAAATAAAATAAATATACAATAAGATAAAAATAGAATACAAATACAAATGCTATATACAACTGAGTAAAAATACAACGATGACAGAAAGGATTATTGCACTTAGTATTATTGCATATGTATGGATGTGTGTGATGTATGGATGATGTCAGGGCAGCATGGGTGCGAGCAACTTGTTTTGTTAATGCCCACCATGATGCCACCTTGATCAATAACCCATGTCGCCCATATCAAAAACTGCCACTGCATGAAGTAAGCCATAGTGAAGGGAGCAGTAAACAGTCTAGCGCAACCTAGAAGTGCAAGTGCCTGTTCGATTCTAATGAGAGGGCTAATCAGACAAGTAAAAAAAAACCTGAGATGATACACAATAGCTAAAAGTTGGGCCTTTTAGACAAATAACTATAAGACGGTAATCATAGACTGCTAATCCAACTAAAATAAGAGCAGTGGATACACTTCGAAAGGGAAACAAAGACTTATGTTTGAATGAAGGTGTTGAATCTTTCCAGCCAATTGCTTCACCAAAGGGCAGATCACATGAAGCCCGGTTCAACAGCACAGTACTGACACCTGCTGCTCATTCGATTTACAGCAGCCCTGCTCTGATAATACATGTGGACTCGAGTGGATATGTAATGATGTATCACTTGTAGAATACCCATATGTGTATTTTTAATATAAATACACAAACAGACACACACACACATCTACCCATCCTCTCTGAGAATGATTTATGTTATTAGTAGGCGATAGCATGTCAAAATGTTCCTTAACTGCTGACATTATCCACCTTTTTGGTTAGAAGTAGAAATAAAAGGAACTAAGCCATGCTAGACACACTAAAAGAATAAAGAGAAGCACTGTTAAAGGACTGAGTGGGCTTATACACACACACACACACACACACACACACTGAAGAATGATGGGAATTAGACACTGGTGCACACAATTCAAATAGCAGGTGACAAAGTAAATACCAAACACAGGAGACAACTAACTAGCAAACTAAAACAGGAAATGAATGGCAATAATTAAACAGGGAACTTGGATAAAAAAGTAAACATAACATGAGGAAATGGCATTGAAAGAAACAACAAAACCTTAAAAGTGGGAAAATACAGGGGAGAAAGGATATCACAAAACTCGTGGAATTAGGTACAAAATGAAACTAGACAGCAAAAAGGGACAGAATTTAAAAGAAAACCCATCTATATAAACATGGTGAACCAAACAGGGAATATCAACTAGAAAACAAAACACCATAAACACCAAACAATCAGCAACAATTCAAAACTTAGGCATAAAACCCATGACAGACTCACTCTCCACCTGCATTTTGCATTTCAGTTTTCCCCTTTTAAGCTGTTGTATAAATGGTGTATAAAAGCACTGCTATTTATACACTGTTAGATGTATAAATAGCTGGGGGGGAAATGGCAGATATGCGTTCAAACGTTCTGTTCAGGCCAAGCAGAAGAAAGTTATGAACTGGGAGTCTACTCCAAAAAGGATATTAAGAAAGCAGCAGTAAACGAGCAGAGTAGGTACATTTTATGTTTACATCAGTCACAGAGACCAACTTCAGAAAGGACTATTAGACCTCAGATTCTACAGGGACACATGTGAACACGTGTGAACAGGTAATAACGGAGAGCAGACATTAGTTTATATTGCAGACCTTTTGCGATTACTCAAAATACCAAACAACTTACTGTGTTACAGGGGCCACAGTTCTTTAACTTGATGCCAGTCCACACTCAGGAGAGAAAAAGAAAGCGAGAGAGAGAGAGAGAGAGAGAGAGAGAGAGAGAGAGAGAGAGAGAGAGAATGTGACAAATGACTGAGCCTAGCTTGCTGAATTGCGATGTGAGACAAACCCACGCACACCGAGCCGGGCTTAATCGCATAAACACACCGTATCTTATGACTGCTGGTAGCAAAGCCTGAACATCAGGCGGGCGGGGAAAGATCCAGATCCAGTGCTGTGCTGATTGACTGGCTGCTGCTGCTGCTGCTGCTGCTGCTGTTACCTGGGGAGTCAAGAGGGAAGCATCGATGCCTCCGGGTCAGTACTCGCTCATGAGACTGGACCTGTTCTCGCCATCGGGCCTCCTGCACTGAGATAATGAAAGGATGGATGGACGACGATGCGGCGGGGACAACAGAGGGCTGAAGGATGCTGCTGCAGCGACTCGCCGGGATGAGGAGCAGCATCACAACACGATGAACTCGCCGGAAGAAGCGGGAGCGGATGATCTGTCTCTGGAGGAGATACTGAGGCTTTATAACCAGCCCATCAACGAGGAACAGGCATGGGCGGTGTGCTACCAGTGCTGCAGAACACTGGCGAAGGAGCACCGGGGCGCTGCCGCCACCGGAGCATCATCAGCGGCTACACCGAGGAGGATATCCGGACCGGGGGGTGTTAGGATACAGAAGGACGGGTCTGTGACGGTGGACCACCAGGGCTGTGAAGGTAAAATATTATATAAGTGTGATTGTGCCTAGAGCTACTCAGATCTAGGCCAAACCATCACTGGTCTTTTAAATAATATACGTGTGTTGTTCCAACACGTTCTCGTATAATGTTAACAATAAACCTAAAAGAAAGGGCCCCAGTGAGACTATTATAGAGGTGCGATGCAAAAATATCCTGTAAATAGCTCCGCACATGTTTTTGAGCTCACACGTGAAAGATTCATTAGTGTGTGTGTGTGTATGTGTGTTTTTTTCCTGACCAGGTGCTCAGTTTGCATGTCAGGATTAGTCCATAATCTGCATCATGTAGCACCAAAACAACCAGTACTTAAGGCTCCATGACCTGATCTCATCAACACAAAGACATACCATCACAAACCCCCGCCGCTGTCTCCCTCACATGGCTTCATGCGTCTCCGCTCATTTTCACTGTTTCCTCCTCAACAAACACACGTGTGTGGGCATCATGTGGTTTCATCTCTTTTATTTATTTATTTTTATGAAGAGCCCGTCAGCCTGTTTTGTCACCTCGTATCAGATCAGGCTGTTCATTCCGCTTCATCTGATTAAAGCATGTGATTACGAGCCGAAATGCGGGCACTGATCAGATCAAGGCGTGGACTGTTGCCCTGCTTGTGCCTGAACAGAACAGGGACCATTAGTGATGCATCACCCTTGTTTTTTTTCATTTAGATCTTGGTTATATTTAGCTGTTACTTCTACCTGTGGGAGCCTCGTTCATTGGCTACAATTAATGAGAGGCAATAAAACAAAAAGAGCTAGTTAGAGTTAAAGCAGTGTTTTTAGTGCCATGCTGGAAATATAACAGAGTCAGAGAGAGAGTAGTAGCAGTGTGCCAACTGAAAAACCGCTGTAATATTCTCAAGCTACCCCTACGGGCCTTTAAAGTGTGTCTATAGTGTTGTAATCCTGATGTTATTGTACTTTATGGTGGGTCATGTGTAACATGAGGCAGAGTTAGTGTTTGTGGATATTTTTTCTAGCACGGTCGAGTTTTTAAATTGAGGGATAAGCCTGGAATCCAACCAAAACAAAACAGGTGACACTGCATGCTATGTGATATTTGTATTGCCTTATTCTGTGGGTGTGTCTGTGAACATTTGCTTAAACTAAGCACCTGATGTTGTTAGACTAAGAGCTGGTGTGTTCATGCTCGTCTATATTTACATTTGCCCAAAGAGTGCACAGCAGACTGACTTAATGCCTATCCATCTCTGTCTTTGTAATTGACTACCTGAGGGCCTGAGGGAAGTGCTCTCAACTCA